CCCCCGCCCCCTGCGCGGCGCTGCTGGCCGACGAGGCGGCCGCCCAGATGCCCGCGATGACTAACAAGGAGTTTGCGCAGAGCGCCTGGGCCATCGCCAAGATCGGCCGCCCCGGTGCAGCGCCGCCGCCCTCCTTTGTCGACCGCCTGTGGCAGCAGGCCCACCTGCGCGCCCCCGCCCTGGCGCCCGCCGAGACCGGCCTGCTGCTGTTTGCCGTGTCGCGCCTCGGGCTCCACGCGCCGCCGCAGTGGCTGGCGGACGTGCTGGTGCGGCTGCGCGCGGCGCTGCCCGGGCTGCGGCCCGACCAGCAGGTGAACGCGGTGGTGGCGCTGGCGCGGATGGGGCGCGGCCCGGGGCCGGAGTGGCTGGCGGCGTTTGAGGCGGCCACGCGGCTGGGGGAGTTCACGCTGCAGGTGAGGGCGGGCGCGGCTGGGGCTTCGCAAGGGCCGGTGCAGGGTGTAAGGGATTTGGCGGCCAGGGCCGGGAGGCAGCCCTGCGGCAGCTGGCTTGAAGAAGGCTGACTCGTCGTGCTGCAACCATTTCCCCATCCCTCCCTCCCCGAAATACCCACCCACTCAGCTCCCACGCCGCGACCTGAAACACGCCCTGAACGCAATGCCTGCCCCAATCCCTGCCCCTGCGTGTCCCCCTCTGGTCAGGAGCTGGTCAACACGCTCTGGGCCTTTGCCGCGCTGGGCCACGCCCCCTCCCTGCCCTGGCAGCACGCCTGCGTCGCCGCGCTGCGCGCCGCCTGCGCCCAGGCGTGCGGCCTCGCGGCGCCGCTGGACGCCGACCAGGTGGGGGCGCTGCTGGAGGAGGGCGCGCTGCTGCAGGTGGTGACGGGCGCGGTGGCGGAGCAGGCGGCGGCCGACGAGCTGGGCGGCGGCGTCGCGGACGGCGGGGCGGGGGACGGCGGGCTCGAATGTGCGCTCAGCCTGGCGTTCGAGCTGCCGCTCGGCGCCGCTTGAGCGGCGGCTTCGCTCGGCTTCCAGTGATACGCTATTCCAAGGTTATCAACCGCGGCACACGTGATTTCGCAAGATAGGAGCGAGCGAAGCGGAGGGGAGGGGTGGCGTCGCGGCGACACCACCCCCATGGCAGTTGGCAGCCTCACACCCTCGGCCCTCTGGCCCCCGCCAAGCCGCGGCGCTGCGTGAGAGAGCCCAGGCGGGTGCAGCCTTGCCAGCTGCCTCGCCCGCCGCGCACGCGGCAGTCAAAACGTTCCAACAGAGAGGGCATCACAACATTTTCTGCACTGCACACGGTGTTTTCTTGGGGTGGGCAGTTACCTGCGGGCCAACATTTGCCCGTCCCCCGAGTGTGTATGAATCCTCTACCTCAGGGTGCGGCAAGCACGTGCTGCCGCCCCAAAACCCGTGCTAGGCCCCCACGCGCCTGCCTGTGCAGCGTGCAGCGTCGGCTTGAGGGGCTGCTCCCCAATTTTCGGGCCCCCGGGGCCTGGCTCCCCGGGAGAGTGTTGAGCACTGGACAGCCCGCCACCCGGGGGGGTTGCGCGGGCGCGTCGGCCAGCCCAGGCTCCTCGCCACCTTGGGCCGCAGGCGGCCAGCGGGTCCGCTGGGCTCCGGCTCGCAGCCAGCAGGAGGCCCTGCCGGCTATGAGTCTGGCGAGGACACCTGCGATGGGCGAGCCTAGCCGCAACCCGGGAGTTTGCTTCGCAGTTTTTCCCCTTGTGTGTTGGCTTCAAACCTTGGCGCGTGCGAGAGGGCCGCGATCCGCCTACCGCTGCAACTGGCGGTGTCACCCAGTTTGGCGCCCGCTTGATGCAACAGAGATCGCCGGCGGGCGGTCCAACGACGTTGCAAACTCGCACCACTGTACGTCTAACCCCCTGCCCACCCCGCGGTCCTGCGGCTGCATCGCGCTGTTGGCAGTCCGTCTCGTTTAGTAGCTGCTGTGCCCACGCATGGCCTGGCTCTTTGATGGGGCTGTGTTTGGCGCCCTGGACCCCCTCTGGGCCGGCGCCTGTGCCTGCTGGGCTCGGGGCTTCTCCGGGCCGAGCTCCCCTGCACGTTTTGCCATGGTCACCGCTCACTGCCGACGCCGGTGGCGGCCCCTGTTTGTGGTGCCCACCAGTGCATGTACAACAGACACCACCCGTACCTCAACCGTTGTGATGGCCAACCGTGGATGCCTAATCACACGCATACAGAGACCACACGACTCTCGCCGTACACAAAACGCCTCCCATATCAGCCGAGGTTCTCTGCTGCGCCGCTGTCGCCGCCGCTGTTCCTGCCTCTGTGTTGTCTAGCTATCGCCGCACAGTTTTCGCTGGCCCCTTTTGGTACGGCCGCGGTTGAGAGCTGTTGCTGATTGCAGCCATTCACCTGTATTGTGCTGCCCTGTCGTGCAGTGAAACCCGTCGACGTTTGTAACGTTCTCAGGTTGCTGCCTCGCCGCATGTTGCATCCTGGGGCCCTGCAAAGTCGCTGCAGCCGCACACACCTGGCAGACTTGCGCTCTCATAGGTGACGTGTGCTGTGCGGGACCTGCAGTGACCGCGGGGCCGCCCGGCCAGCTGGCCGAAGCTGCGTTCTGGACTGCTTGTGGCGGGCGCCTCGGCCACGTCCACCGCAACCAGATGCATGTTGCGTGGGCGCACTGTCTGCTAGATGCCAAGAAGAATGGCGGCACAACTCTTGAGTTATGGCGCAAGGCGCTGAAGCCCGCGGCCGCGACGCGGTGGTGGGGCGGATCGTACAGCGCCGTCAGGGTCCACATGGAGAGTGGCCTCTTCCACCCATTATCGCAACTTGCACCAGTCACAAGCATCAAAAATTGCAAAGCTTCTCTTGCCTCGATCGCTTCCTTGATCGGTCCTGGCGAGTTACAAAGTATCACCGGCATTGGGATCAGCGCCTCAATAGCCCTGCGCGCGTCGCGTGCGTGCCAATCATCTACTCAGGAACCTTAAATCAGAGTCCCGGTTAGCCACCATGCAGCTGCACAAGATGGCGCGCGGGGCCCGCCTCAGCGCCTCTGCTCAAAGAGCCGGGATCGGTGCCCGGCGCGTTGCTGTGCGCTCGGTCGCGTCCGTGGCGCCCTCAGCTGATGTCGAGCTGGCAGGTCAGCCATTGGAGCAGCAGGAGCGCCTTTGGTGCCCGGGCGGGCGCCGGCGGCGTTCCCGCCTCTGGTCGCTAAGCAGGGGACAGGCCCATTGGGGCCCATCCGATCACCTCAGCACTGCAAAGGAATGGCTGATCACAGCTCAGTGATCTGCGGCTGGCCGCAGCGGCGCCGCCTCGGCCAGTGGGCCGCCCAGAATGCCCTCTGCTGCCCTCACGCGTCCGCCCCAACAAGGGGGCCATGATCGCCGCTGCCCTCCCGCCCTCCTGCCCCTCTCCCCAGCCAATCCGCTGTCGATCGCGTTCGTGGCGGCCGAGGTTGCGCCCTGGAGCAAGACCGGTGGCCTGGGTGACGTGGTGGGGGGGCTGCCGATTGAGCTGGCCAAGCGCGGCCACAAGGTCATCACGATCGCACCCCGGTGGGTACGCCATGCAGGGCAGAGCGGCGCTTGCTGCGATGTGCAGGCGGGCGACCATGGACCGCCACGCTACGTGGTGTAATTCAGGGTCTGGTGTCCCCCCCCCTGATACTCGCCGCGGCCTCCACGGCCCGCCGCTATCTACCCCCTCAACCACCCAAACCGCGATCAACCACCCAACTACGCATCCCCCAAC